CATGTCAGTTTTAATGATGTCATTCTGTTAATTCATTCACCAGGCTGGGAATTTTTTACTTCTCCAGAATTACATTTTGTTTCAGAATCTACATAGAATTAGATAAACTGTAAGCACTATGTGATATTGTCACCTCTACAAGTTGTTTACACCTTGTTGTCTACAAATTCCAACTGCTTTTTACATATGGTTTTGTTTTAATAGACTAAAACCCAAATAGGCTCATATGGAGCGTATTTCAATAAATCTTTTTTTAAACTCGATTGGGTTACCTTATTGTCCCAGCCAGTGTAATATATTGGATCTTCCAGACCTAGGGGCGTGGTTTCTTTGATTGAGTCATTCTGCCTTCACGATGGTCTTCCACTTTTCCTGCTGCTATTTTTTCTAGTGAGTCATATTTGAGAGTGTTGTACTTATCCTGGGAAGATATGGTGAAAGTTGTCTTGGCTTCTAGGTAGAGCTTAGGCTTATTTTGCTCAAAGGCCAATTTATTTGTCTTTTAGAAGTGTACAATTTCTGAAGAACTCTTCTCCAGCATTAACTTTCAAATGTGTTGATACCCTTCTTATACGTTTTCTTCACTGTCCAGCTTTCACAACCATACAACCATACATAGAAATAGGAAATATAGTGGAATGGATAATACTAACTTTAGTGGAGAGGAAGATACTTTTCTTCCTCATTTATGACACTATAACATAGCGTTTTCTAATGAAACTAAATTTAGCCAGCCAAGAAATTCATAAGCAACTTTAGTTTAATACTGATGAACTCATGGTGCCCCCAATCATGCCTGAATACAACAGATTAATTTTAAAGGTTGCACACTAGATACATGGCTTTGTCTTTTCAGTGCATCATAGTCTAATACATCTGATGTCTGACTTGCTCTGTAGAATGTTAGAGCAGGCTTCAGACTGTCTTGCTTGTGAGTCACAAGTAAATTCAAGTGAGGCTGTATTTCACAATATTAATGCAGTTCAATCTAGTACTGATCCCAAATGAGGGATCAGACAACGAACTCTGAGCACTCAGTTTAATATGGATACCAGAACACAGAGACTGAAAATGTTTCAGGCCAATAGAGAAATAAATTATCTCAATCCACTTTCAAGCTTATGTGTAGGTCAGTGTTGCGTCTCAGAGTAGTTTCACCTTGCTCTCTGACAAACCAGCCAAACTTGAGAAGAAAATAGTTTATTGAAGATTCAACAAATCCAGGTAAAGGCAGTAGAAAGTTCAAGGTACAAAATATAGGTTCAATAGGAGTCCATAAATCAAACAGGAACTTGAGGCAAAGAAGCAGGATACATTTCAGGCTTAGCATGAAGTTACAGGAAGCAGGCAATCCCCCCCAAGCCCAAGCTCAGGGCCGTAGGAACAGCGATCCATTCTAGCGAAGTTGAACAGACACTGAACCAGCTTTCCATCAGCATACTTATAGGAAAAAGCATCAAAACATGAAACTAAAACAATTCACTAACGAGCACTTTTCTCACCGGCAGATGGCCTCAAGATTTGGCCGCAAGCCTCCCGCTTCTTCTCAGCACCTGCAGCTGGTTGCCCCGGCCTTCACCGTTCTTATCAGTCACATTCCTCGGCTGTGAGAACAAGCGCTTCTCTCCAGCTACAGACTGTGACTGAGAATTCTGAAATCCCACATCATGCCCATTTGCACTCTCAGACCCATCATGCTGTTGCTGAACCACAACACTATCCCCCCCCAAGCCCCCCCCTCAGCCCCCCCACCGGACCGGCCTTGGCCGGATAGGCCCGGTGAAAGCGGGACACCAAAAGAGGGGCATGAACATCTCGAGCATCTACCCAACAGCGTTCTTCAGGACCATATCCCACCCAATCCACCAAGTACTGTAACTTGCGATGATAACGGCGAGAGTCTAAAATGTCCGCCACTTCAAATTCTTCTTCTCCATCAAGCAGAATCGGGGGCGGTGGAGGGGCCCCGCCAGCATCCGGCCGGACTTCCGTGGCGGGCTTGAGTAACGATCGATGAAACACGGGATGAATCCGCATGCCGCGCGGAAGCTTTAACTTAAAGGTCACAGGATTTAATTGTTCCACCACTGGGTATGGCCCCACAAAACGAGCGTCAAGCTTCCGAGAGGGACGTTGGATAGGCAAATGGTTTGGTGGACAGCCAAACTCGATCCCCCACTTGGATCGATGGACCCGACTGTCGATGAGTATCCACCACTCGTTTGTAATCCTCTTTGGCTTGCTCCAGTTGAGCCTTTAAAATCTCTTGAATTGCTGAGAGTTCCTGCAGCCAAGTGGTAGCGGCAGGGACCTCTCCTGAGCCCACCACTGAAGGAAAGAACCGGGGGTGGTATCCATAGTTAGCAAAGAACGGGGCTTCTTTGGTCGACCCGTGAGTAGCGTTGTTATAAGCGAACTCTGCTACAGCAAGGAGCGATGACCAATTGTCCTGTTGATAGTTTATAAAACATCTCAAATATTGCTCAAGGGTGGCGTTGGTCTTCTCGGTCTGGCCATCGGATTGTGGATGGTGCGCAGACGACATCCGACTTTCGATGCCTAACTGCCGCTGAATCTCCTTCCAAAAGTGCGAGGTAAATTGGGCACCACGATCGGTCACCAAACTCGATGGAAGTCCATGAAGACGGAAGATGTGACCCAGGAACAGATCGGCAGTCTCTTTAGCGGTAGGCACTCCCCCACAGGGAATGAAATGTCCCATCTTGGTGAAGAGATCCACCACTACCAAAATGGTGGTGAAACCTTGAGATTCTGGTAAATCCGTGATGAAGTCGGCCGACACGATTTCCCAGGGCCGACTCGGAGTGGGTAACGGTTGTAGCAAACCAGCCGGCTTGCCCATAGAGTTCTTAGCACGGTGACAAACAGGGCACCCATTGACATATTTTTCAACCTCTTGTCGAATCTTGGGCCACCAAAAGTCTCTCAGCACCAACTGCATTGTTTTAAAGATCCCGAAATGCCCTGCTGGCTTGGTGTCATGGCATAGTCTTAAAATTTCCTCCCGCTCGGGACCGGGCGGCACATAGACCTTTGAACGATGACACAGCACCCCATCTAATTCCTGAAAAGGAAACTTTAGACCGGCCTCAAGTTGCTCTTGCACCCACAAGTCCTCTTGCTGCCGCGCTCGGATCCTCTCCGCCAAAGTCGGAGGGGGCCCCGATACTCCGGTGGACGCAAAGTTTTCTGGGCGCAAAATGCAGGACTCTGAGGAATCTTCTTGGCCTCGAGTATACTCCAGCTTGCGCGACAAAGCATCCGCCTGTTTGTTTTGAGCCGCCGGCACGTAGCAAATCCGGAAGTTGAACCTCTCAAAAAACAACGCCCAACGCTGCTGCCGTTGGTTTAACTTCCGTGAAGTACGAAGATATTCCAGATTGCGATGGTCCATGTGAACTTCCACTGGTTGCAGAGCCCCCTCTAGCCAATGTCTCCAAGTCTCAAACGCCGACTTGATGGCTAGAAGCTCTTTTTCCCAAATGGTGTAATTCCGTTCTGGGGCGGTCAACTGCTGGGAAAAGTATGCACAGGGCTGGAGATGATCTCCCTCAGGTTGTAGCAACACTGCCCCGACCGCCACATCCGACGCGTCAGCCTGCACCACAAAGAGCTTAGTTGGATCAGGATGTTGCAGGATAGGCTGAGAAGTGAAAAGCTTCTTGAGCTGCTGAAAACCCTTCTCTGCTGCCTCAGTCCATAGGAACGGCCGTTTGCCTCTCAGACATTGGGTAATGGGGTCCGCCCAGCGGGCAAAATCTGGGATGAACTTGCGGTAGTAGTTGGCAAAACCCATGAATCTTTGAATGTCCTTTTTGCTCATGGGGGACTTCCAATCTAACACCGCAGAGACTTTAGCGGGGTCCATGGAAATTCCCTCCGCAGAGATGCGGTGTCCCAGAAAGTCTACTTCGTCCAGATCGAAGGCGCACTTTTCCAGCTTAGCATAGAGTCCATGATCTCTTAGGCGCTGGAGCACCGCGCGCACTTGTTGCACGTGATCACGTGGATTTGTGGAGTAGATCAAAAAATCGTCCAAATAAATGACCAAGAATCGGTCCAAAAAGTCGCGAAAGATATCGTTG